GCCAAATAGATAAGTGCCCGATAGTGACTTCTAGAGAGTTGTTTGGGTGTTCAAAACATTATAAACGTTATAAACGATTACACTTTAGATGTGAAGACCAAAGGGTATGTGTACTTCATGATCCATTTATGAATTGTTTACATTGTGCTCCTAAGATTTGATATTTTATTAGTGTGCCAACACCACATAAATGTTTCATATCCTGGAATTGCAAGCAAATCTAAAAGCATAATAATATGAGCCGAAAGAAAATTTGATTTCTCGAGAAACGGAACGAAACTGTTTCCAAGAAGGACACGGAGCAGGGAGACATGTGGTAATCGAGAAAAAATATATTTTTGTACGGAAAGACAGCCATTCTCAGGACGATTATATTCTTAGTCTCGTGTCCGATATAGAAGCATCATTCTCTCTTACCAAATCTTCCTTCTTCGGAGCATTATTTACTCCCCTGCGTCATCTGTAACGTACATTCTACAAACCAGTTCCCATAAGGAAAGACTGGATCTCGAACTGTAGTTTAACTTTACGAAAGTTAATATTACGAAACTGACCACAGTGAGGACCATCTGCGGGGGAAGCCAGTAACGAGTTGTTCTAGGCAACCAACCTCTCGACACGACCCGACGCATCCTGTTCGTATTGCAAAATACCTACCTGTATTATATTGTTTATTAGTATGTTCATTGTCAATAAATTCTGTAGATTTTCAGTATGTTAAGTTTTAAGACAATCCATAGAATTTTTGTGAAATAAGTAAGCAGTAAATGACATTTTACGGAATTTTATAGAAATAAAAATTTATTTCTAAAAAATGTACTTGAAATATAAAACAAGTTATTTCTATAAAATTACATAAAATATAATTTACTGATTACTAATTCTAAAAAATCTACTGATTGTCTCCAAACTTAAGGTACTGAAAATCTAGAGAATCTATCTGTTTTGCTGATTTCCAATATGCACAGAAATTGAAACAAAACTGCGGCCTCCCTCCATGTGACAGGTCGTTCATAATTTTGTTACATACCACGAACTCGGCAAAAATTCAAAAACAATGAAACAGTTTCGATTTGTTTGTAGTGCGTGTACCGACAAAATTATCATATTCAGTGCGTCACTGCTTTGGGACAATGCTGACGTCAAATGACAGAGAGGTTCCAAGAAAGAGGCCGCCCTGCATTAAATATTTGCTATTCGCATTCATGGTAACGGCAACTTTATATGTAAAGAACTGTTGTTCTATATATACTATGTGGTTGCAGTCTTTGTAACCACTTCTTTGCTAAAATATTTAATTTCTAGTAGTTTTAGAGGATAGTATTTTATTTAATAATTTAAATTTTATTTTGTTTAATTTAGATTTATGTGTTGTTGAGCAGTATGGGTGCTACTTTTTGAAAAATCATTTTGAGTGGTTTTCTTCAGTAGCATTTTTGCATTACTGTAAGCCAGTAATTTAGTTTCCTAATGAAGTAAGCAATTTTTTGTCTGCTTTCTGCAGAACGACTTTTTATCAACACTCGTGTGAAAAAATGATATACACAAAATAGAACAGAATGGGGAGAGAATCAGGTTGACGATTTAGTTTATTATGCACGTAAGACAATTGAAACTGAATTGTAATTAAAAAGTATTTTATTAATATTACGTTTTAACTTACTTTACAAATTCGCATACAATATAGGATAATGACAGTAATGTTGTAAAATGCACAAGTTTAAATCCTTTCTTTGTACCATTCCGTTAATTTAGTTTTTAAATATTGATTCTTTGGTTTGGGTATCGCAACCGCAGACATTATGATTCATAGTATTCCTACACATATAAGACACAAAGAATGACAACAGAAACCCAAATTTAAAACAAAGCCCCAAGATGGACATCTCCATGTTCTTATTGCGGCATAATTTAATATCGTTTCTGACCTCCTTTGAAACTGCCTCCCACTCGAAGTGCATAAGGGCCCTCCAGGTACTATCAGCTGCAGTGCTCGAACGGAATGTAGTACCGGTCTCTTACACCCCCGCGCTTCTTTTGTTTGTAGTTTTAAATTGGCGCTGCAATGACCTTTGTTACATCAGCCCCAAGAGGTAATTTAATTCAGATTAAGGTGAACATAAGAGATTTCATGTACGACAAAATGTAAGAGAAGCAGATTAATATAGTGAGTATTCTGGCCAATAGAAGCAACAGAGAGAATCTCATACTCAAAACAACGAATGTCCCAACATTATTGTTCTTCAGTATCGCAGTTGAAACATAAGAATCGAATATTCTTTCAGATTACTCCCTTAAATTTTTGTCACCTTCAGAACCCAAGATTTATCACCCAGGTCCTTGTGGGACATATCTGAGAGATAGGATAATTGGCATACCCTTATTCTTCTATAATGTGAATTATCTGGGCATGTCTCTGAATCTAGACCTGAGACACATTATGGTGATCTTCAGAGCTTCTGCATTTTTCACGTGGCACTTCTGGCTCATGCCCGAGAGAAATTCTACCTTTTTTACCCTTCCCCTTGGCTAGAAGAAGCTGCTTCTGTACTCACGGCGCGTCATGCGGGCGCCGAGTGCTTCTTCGCTGCACTTCTGCAAAGTAGTGCCCTTCTCCTCGCACCGTGCCTGCACCGCAACCTCATCCTCCCCACAGGTTTCGGCCTGCGCCTCTTTTGTTCGCGGTTTTTAATTGGCGTCCGCTGCAGTGGCTCTCCTTGCGGCGAGAGCTGCACCGGGCCGCGCGCGCTCTGGCAGCAAAAAAGCGCGGCCTTGACTCGCTCGCAAACGCACCCGCCGCGCCGCTGTCGGCCGGTCGCGTGGCACTTGTCGCCGGAGAACATTGTCATCGCCGGCTGCCACCGCCGCCACAAGAAAGCCCGTGCTGTGGCACTGTCAAGACGTGTTTTAACTGCACTTTTACGCATTTCTTGAAAGTGAACCTGAACAGTTCAGTGTATGAGCGTTGCCGGAGTTTGGACGGCGGGGACTGGGAAGGCGGTTGAGGAGAGATTTGTAGGGGGAGGCAAGGTTTAATGATTTAATGAAATAGGAATTTCCTAAATGATAAAGAAAAGTTTAGTGGGAACTTAATGGATATTTTCCAAAGCTATGACTAACATTTATTGTTATTACACATGAAAAGAAGAACATTACCAATTTAAAACGGAAAATTTTCTGAAATATTTTATTTACGAAAGGCTCTTGTCAGTTAGTAACAACATTCACATTTCTATTTAATAATTTATGAAGAAAAATATTTTTTAATATTCTCAAAAAATATGTTTGTCAAAATTTACTTCATGCATGTATTTTATTTAATTAATCTTTTGTTTGTTTGACCAAATTTCTGCCCGGAATGTGCCTTCAGGTACTCAACCCTAGTGCCAGAACATTCCTGCATTATTAAACAATGCTTATGTAATATTAATGTGTAATATTAGTGTGTAATATTAATGAAATTATTTAAACTACGCATTAAGCATATATTTTGTTATTCCGGGTCTACTTTTTTCTGTAAACTAAATCTGCTACTCGCTGCGCAAAATGTCGCATTCATATGTGTATTTGATTGGCTGACAGATACTGTCCCCATTGTTTTTCACTAGAAAATAAAAATTGTAACTTTTATACTATATGAACAAAACCAAATTTGCAGAAACTATTTATGGGGCCGCAACTTTGGCCTGTGGCGCCAAAAAAAAACGGCGTTTGGCGTTTAGAGAATTCTAGGAATATATTGTGTCATGTAAATAAAATTCTTCCATTGCATATTAATCATATCTCCATTTTTATGCAATTATTATATCTCGCAAAAATATAACACGAAACTTTGCGCAGTATTTTGTAGTAAATATCAAAGCTCGTTTCTACAGCTTTTCATGGCATTATATTTTGCATATTTACATGTGAAGATACTTGGAAAAAAATCATCACAGTCGATAAAATTGTATTTTGTTTTGTTTCTCACTTTGATATTCCTAGAAATTCAAGCGGGGGTACGATTTTAGAGATATGACAGACTTAGCCATGATATTCTACGCGACTCAACGTCACTTTGCGTACCAAATTGGTAGGTACAAGGGAACCGGGTCATGCAGGGCGTTGCAACAATCGAGAGCAAGGACGAGTGTGCCCTGTCTCGCGTGGAGCAGCGTCGATCAGCGCCGTAGCGCATGACAATCGCCGTACACTGTCAACAGCGCATTCTAGTGGGGTAACATCCACTCACGTGTAGTGAAGCGGTGCGAGTTTCCACTTTGCCCGTCAGATGTCGCGGAGAGTTTGCACACGAGTGTATATAGTTAGCGCAATGACCACCAGGGATCGCGCCGGTCGTGAGCTCTCGTTCGGGCAGGTGTCTTGTTAGGGCTAGGGCGCTGGCAGAACGTTAGGTGTTGGCGCTGGCGGAGTCGTCGACTATTCGGGTCGCTACGGAAAACAATGCGTGCTGGCGGGGGACACGGCTCGTCGATTCTCCCCACTCCTACGCCTTTTCATCGGCGTCTGACCGAATGTGACCATTGCCAAGAATACGTACACGTAGGGATTTTCCGAAATTCAGATGAACTGTCTGCAACCCAATTAATTTTAAGTATTATCTTTCACACAATACTGTGCAATGGATTTCGTATAATTCACTAACAAACAGTTTAAGTATTCACTATACTTTCGAGTCTTCTGAGACTCAACATTCAAGTGTTATTGATATTCTGTAACAAAATGCGTCTTTAATTAATTAATTAATTAATTAACTTGCAAATAAGAAAATGATATCCTTTTGGGCAGGTTTCGAATTCCAATAACTCTAAAAGTGTGGATCATAAATACACTAATATAAAGATAGGTAATCAATTTCATTTTTTTATAAATTGTTTACATCTCTCAAACAAGTTGTAATAGGAGAAATGTGGTTTGAAAATATTTATATTAAAGCAAAATGAAGTTTCTTTGTTCTTTGTCTCGAAATGTTTACATTTGTAACTTATTTGTTAAAATGGAGTGCTTACTTTTCACGAGTGTCTAAGTCGTGACTCACTGTCAGCGGGAACGCGCGTCTGTGAGTAGATCTGTCCATCACATTCCGCCATTCCAAACAACCGCGCGCCCGCCAACAGAGCGATCGTACCGAGCGTGTAGTTGCCGGGTCGACCGCTACGCCGCGCTGACCGTGCGACGCGCGAGATTCCGTCGGGCGCCGGTGCAGCGACCACCCGGCTAGCGGGGCGAGCGAATAGACGGCAACGGCACGGCCCGGCACGGCGCGCGGGGCAGTCGGACGCGTGTATACCTGATCGGGCCGGCGCGGGAGGGCGGGGAGGGGGTGGAGACGCGCCACTGGCTGTTGCCGATGCTCTTCCGGGCGCGTTGCAACCACCGCCGCTGCTCCCGGGGCGCTGAAGGCCAAGGGACGTGCACCGGACCAGTCGGGCCGAGGACCACCTGCGAAGGAAGACTCCCCGGCGTGGTGCAGTGTGGTTGTGGTTGTGGCTGCGGTCGCTCGCCCGCTGACTGCCGCGGGGCAGTTTGTGGTGGAGAAGGATCGGTCTTCGGGACGTAACGACGCCGGCCGCTCGCGCCCCCAGTCATGTTGTCAACCACTGCGCTGTTCGGTACGTGGATGACGGCGACGCTGTCAAAAAATATTGTAAAGATGTTTGAGGGTGAATTTGACGTCTCTGGAACTGGTGGTGGTAGTTCACGTGTCTTGTCGAGCCTAGTGAAGTAGAAACTTTGGCAGATGGTTAATTGTTAATGGTAGATGGTTGTCATCCAGTTGTTTGTTTTTTTTAATTCTGCCTGTAATTGCTTTCTAGATGTTGATTGTAGTCAATAGAAACATTTTAGAGCAATAATTCATGTGTTAGGAACGACTAGTTTGTCTACTTGATATAAGAGTTCCGTGACGAATGGATTTTATGTCGTATGTAATTCCTAGTGATAATGAGTTATTGTGAAATATTTCGACAGTTTGTACTTGACTTTAATTTTGCCTGCTCGTACCTGTATGTCTTCGAATCCAAGAAATAAATGGGCACGACCTATGATAGAGGTCGCACAATAATGCACGTGAGTACAACAATATATGATATGCTTATCAGTTTGATAAAATCACACGACCTGTGTCAGTTTTCAGATCATTATTATTAATAGTAAAGACTTCATGATGACAAATTTTAAATCACAAAATCTGGCGCATGTCTTGCAGTTGCACACGCGCAAGCCACTAAAGAACATTAAAGCAAATCTTGGCGTGAGTTTTCTTATATTTATGAAATTGTGTTGTGCCAACACATTTTGTAACAACCCAAGAATTATAAAACACAACCTTTTTGATATCGGTGGATGATATTGACTTTGAGTTCAAAGTACAATCTCTTGATATGTCAGACGATGCATCAAAATGGATAACGAGAGTGATGAGATGTTATTATTAGTTGATATACCTACATTTTAGGTAACGTTTCCGAGATAATGCAGTTTGCGTTTGTGATAATAAAGTATCTTGCCTTTTAAAGTCAGACGATTTTTATACAGATTTTTATTTGATAACTGGAAGACGCAATGAGCAACCGAAAGAAGCCTCAGTCGTGAATGTTGAAACGACTTATTCCAGCCTAATTTTTGTTTGTGTTGATCAAGCGTCCGGCGGTGAAATGACTTTCCCTTTTGTAGAATTCATTGAGCCCCACATTGCAAATACATTTAACTACGGGTATTTGTACAGAATGAGAACTTTCATCTGCCATTCTATTTATTACAATGCTGATGGTTGTTGTTCAACGCGTTACTCACACCTATGTTTTTTAATTGATAAAAAACCAACTGATGTTGAACACGCTCAGTGACACCTTGGTGTATTATGGGATTATTATGGAATGTGGGTTCACACATGGTACGGGAGGTTATGTCATGGTTCAAGGTTTGTCATGAAATTATCCTGTTTGTTTTTTGTTTGTTTGTTTGTTGTCGTTTTTTTTTGAAGTTTTTGATTCATGAAATATATTTGGAAAATTTGATTATTAAAATTAATTCTTATTAAAATGATTCTTATTGAAAGGAGAATGTTGACGCTACCATAGGTTTTTTGTTAGGGTTTTCGCTCTCCCGTTTCGAAAATATATTTGATGGATTTGTTAAAACATGCCTGTTTTATTTAATGCGTATTTCGTTATCACTTACTGTTGACTTGTTAAATTTAAACTAATGTTTATTTTTAACTAAGGAAAAATAAATGAACAAATAATGAAGTAGATGCAAAATCGTCTTTTAAATTACAGCAACTGTGAACAAAATTTTCAAACACTCGAACATCTTACAATTTTGTTAATTTATATTTAAAAATACTATTCATTAACCTAGTCAAAGATTATGTCTTAAATTTTAAAGTTCTTTAGAGTAGCATTTTGCTACTCTTTGCCGTGTCTGCAGCTCGACCAGACGAGACGAAAGGAAATGTTCCTAAGCCGGCGATGAGTTCTTTGACTTTTGCGGATGCCCGTAATTGCCGGAGCCATCCCGCTAACAACTACTTCGCAGCCGTCGTATTCTGGGGCCGGACGCGGTGCCGGCCAATAATCGAGTCATTGGCAGCGGCTTGCGCTGCTCTCTGCGAGCAACGAACGCCCCAGGCGACTGCACGCGTCGCAGACGGAGCGGCATTCCGCGTTTATTTCCTCCCGTTCGATGCAGTGCGCTTCCAGACGGTTAGCATCATAGGTTGGTTGGTTCTGGGCGCGTCAACTGTTAAGGTCATTAGTCTCGAAAGCGTTGTGCATGTTCCTTTTCCTCGGGAGGCGGCGGTGGTCTTCGTGAGTGAGATCCGGAGGCGACCTGCCGTCGGCTGGCGGGGTTGTCCCCAACCAGGTATCTCCCACCGGCGGGGCACCGCCTGCAGCAACCAGGACAAGCATTTAGCTCCCGAACGCCCTCCCGACATGTGTGGTAGTGTAGTGCCTCTTGGTGGATGTGTGTATAGGTAAGGGGTGAGGATATGACAAGGAAGAGGAAGGAAAGATCGCGTGCAGTCCTTTGCTCGTTTATTAGGGTACTGCTCCGGCATTTGCATGGTATTGATAAGAGAAATCGTGGAATACTTCCGATGAGAGCAGCCGGCCGCTAGAATTCTCCTCCAGACAGCCACTGAATTCGTCCTAGGCGGTGTCAAAAATTCTGCCGCCGTCGGTTCGCGAACTTAGGACCTTCCGGTCAGAGGCACTGTAGTGACATCAGCATCAATCATGTTCGTTTTAGTAATAAATATATTAAATTTTTGAAATCTAAGATGTTATAGGACTTACAATTTTTCTTTAAATATATTTCTTGGGGCATACGTTGGAGCAATAACTATTTCCAAGCATTTCATTATTTTCTATATCTAGGAAGACTTGATCTTCTAAAATTGGAATATTTCAATGCAACACCTCCATGTTGTTTATAATATACGAATTCATCTTGCTTGTAATATTCGTATTTTGTTGTTCTCGACAACATAAACGTTTTTACCCTCTATTGAAATAAATGTATTCGTATCCAATATTGAAGGTTGTCAGTTTGTTAATACTTCCAACCTAAAAATGTTTGACACATATATCGTCTCTTTCGTTTACATAGTAGTAATGAATAAAAAAGTATTGTTCTCGTATATGTGTAACTAAATTTTATTCTCTTGTGAAAATGAATTTCTTAAGACTACTAAAATTGCTTGTACGTTTTCACTTGCGAATAAAATCTAATTTTTCGTATCTAGCGAAATTAGAATCCATTTAAAATTCAACCCTTGCACAAAAAGAAATTAACAGCACGTTATATCTCACATGAGTACTTTTCAAGATAAAGAAATTTGGATTGTTAACCGGGAATATTTGTGAATGTGTACTTTTCTAGCATCTTTGAACAGGTTATTTTCAAAGCACTTTCGTAATTATTTGACTACAATATCTGTCTCTGAACCATAGGCAACAATGTGTGAATGGAAAATGGTTCTTAATCTCCATCTAGTTCGTCCTTAAGAAGAGTGCAGATATTCGTCTTTCATTGTCTCAAATTATATTGTCAGCAAATCATTACAAACGGCTGCATCGCGTTCCCGATGCAGTTTCGCTATCCACGATCATTGCATGTAAAGTGACTCATTTGAAATGCAACGAGGTTGCTCGGGATAATTACGTATGATACTTGGAGCACCCTTTTACACACTTGCTCTTCAAAGACGCTGGACAAGGTGTTCTAAATTTCACCTGTTCGGAAAACACCGGTGACCTCATAACACGAATATTTTTTCTCTAAAAAATTTATGAGACCGCATACATGTTCTGTTTTTGTAATCGCTCCCTTGACCGACGGGCACCACTAAACCGTTTATTTTGTTACAAGAGAAACTCGTTCACAACTGTCTACCAGATGAGGGTTTGGTTTTTAGTAAGTGAGACATTATGAGCCAATTCTTGGGTAGAAGATCGCATTAACATTCCTCAGTTTTTTTGTTCTACGGCCGAATTAAAAATAATTTTCTGAGTAAGTCATAGTTGTTAAACTAAAAACTTCGCCGAGGATAGTCAAGGCGAGATATTTTTTCCACTTATTAATAATGAAAATAGTATAAATTTTAATATTGTGCAAAAATTAATACTGCAACGTTAGAGTTCGCGGAGGTTCAAAAGTGCGTTCGTATCGGGTACGACGATGTTCGTTCGTATCGTTATTAGGCAACCACGTGTCTAGAGCGTGTGTGTTATGAAACGATGGGTATTGTTACCTGAGGAAGAAGTGGGATTACGATACGGACGAGGAACGAGCGAGTACCGTAAACTGCATTCGTGTGTATTAACCCCTTACATCCATATTTATACAATAATTTTACTGCGACAAAAGATATATATTCGTTAAACTTTTGTATTATTGGGCAGCTGGTATGCACAATTCGGCGGACGCCACCTAGTGGACACAGACCTCTTTGATGTTCCAGGTGGCATTGGTTAAGCGTTAGCACAGTCCGACTGCAAATGAACAGTATAAGAGTTAAGGTTCAGTTAATTAAAGAATGTCATCAATGTTCAGTTCCTGTTCTTATTTATTATTAGCTTAATAATTGGTGGAGTTTCGCAGGGGCTTCTTACTTTCTTCGGAAGTTCGGAGCGTAGGAAACAGGGTTGTGCACGTGCGGTTTAACCGTGCACTGTCTCAGCACATAATCCAACAAAAAAATTAATGGCACGATGGCTATTTATTGATTAGTTCTCAACTGTAAACGTCTCTGCAATCGTTCAAACAACTGTACTATAATGTAGCTGTTTCATGATGACCATCATTATAAAACGTACCGCAACTATTTTGCGCAACGAGAGTAAAAAAACGGATTTACACGTTTCACTCTAAATGGAAGTAGTTGCGAACTGTGGCGGCAGCCTTTAATTCTTAACATGCCACATTCTCGATTTACATGTTTCTGTCGCGCCAGAGCTGCTTACCAGCCACACTCTGTATATATTGGGCATTGCTGCCGTATCAGATTATATAGTCCTTCCATGGCGTCCCAGCCTGGACGGTTATGAGCTCGGGAGGCCTGCGCTAAGTAGACCGCAACCCCTTATGTAAACTGGGATATGTAAAAGAAATATGACAAAAAAAATGTCCCATTCGGAGAATCGATCACGAAATCGCCGGAGGCAAAGCGAATTTGAGCCACCTGGCTCAGCTATGTATGTATGTATGTTGATACATAATTATGTTATTAATAATATTACTATTGTCAGATTAATGCTACCAATAAAGATGTAGGGTACATACGTTTTCTGGATAGATACTCTAGAAATATGGATTTAGCAGCCCGCACTACCACCAGAGTTGGGAACAAATTACAAATAACATGATCACGTGACTAGCGAGCAGCAAAAGCCACGTGATTATACTCGCAAAGTGTGATGGAACAGCGTTTTCCGCTACGGCGTTAGCGTAACGTTGGGGTTGGCGCATGCGCGGAGACTCCAAAGTGGGTTGATAGCGTGTGCGTTAAGGTGCTTGACGCCGTGCAAAAGCTCTTGTTATCAGCGCGGCTGCGAGACCGTTGCCGCCAGCGGCCGCCTCTCGCGCTGTTATCCACTTGACGGCGGCGCTGCGCGAGGCCATTAGAGCGGCGCGACGACTGACGCTGCGCGCGCGGCCAATTGGAAATGAGCCCTGTCATTCGTCTTCGGCCCGCGGGCCGTCCCCGCAGCCGGCGGTGCGCGGGCGGCGACGGAGGGAATTGTCCGGTTGCGAATGCTACAGAACCTTAAGGAGACGGGGTCTTCGTCGGGATATGTATTGAGACCTTTATTTCTCCTGTACCTTCCTTCTCCTCCTCCTCCTTCTTTGAGAAAGCATAGGTAACTGCCAGTTAAAATATCACGGGATGTGTTATGTAGTGACACATTATATTGACAAAATTTTGGTTTTACAGTTCGTGTTCTAACACTAAGAGGGCGAAATGTAAGGGGGAGGCGCTGTGGAGCTCGGGCGCCCTCCCTTGAATATAAAATGGTCTCTGTAGGAATAATGACATCAAATACTTAACAATTATTTTAAATGTATGCATTATTATTTTGTATCTGAATACTATCTACTACAATATTTTAATGTCACACTTAATAATGTACAATAATTGAATTTGATAATTTTTCATTAGACAAGCACTTGTAGTCTGTAATGTATGAAATAACAAATCGGTAGACAATGTTTTAATACTGTTGATTTAACACTGTTCAGAAACCAAATGCGAGAACATACAGATACATATCAAACCCAACTGGTAAATGAAGTAGACAAACCAATAAACAAGCCTTAGTCACCGATTATCTGGAGATGCCCCCAAACAATGCGCGATCATCTATCCCACCAACAGAATAAAATGGAGGCCGGCACTTGACACAGATCTGAGGCGGACTTCACGGTTCATCAGTCCTCACTGAATGGTTATTAAGCTGCTTCTCTCTGCGGACATAGTAACGTAGCCTTGCTCGTGCTCTCCCTTTGGGCAGTTCCTGGGCACGAGGCTGATTCTAATCGAGACGAATCACAATTCGTCGTGATTCCCCCGGCCAACTGCCGGCACTGCGCTGTGACACGTTGTCTGTATGCGGCGTGACTTCTGACCCAGGGTTGTATTTCTGAGTGACAACTTGTTCTGAACAGCGTCTTCGTCGCTTCCGTCTCTGTGCTGTGGAGTACGAGTTATGTGAGCTCCTTGTAGCCTGGCAGTAAACAGAACTGCGCCTTCGATGGTGGCGTCGCGTTATCAACTCGGCGTGACAGATGGTAACAGCATCCGTGGAGATTGTCGATGAATTTATCTCAGCAAGATACGGCGACACAGGACCATTCCTTGTTAAATCTGCGGCTTCGGTCGGTTTCTTAGTGGCTTTGCGGGAGGTCCCTGCATTTGCTCAATTAAGAACTATGATATTTTTCTTGTGACCCACTTTATTTTCACGTCGCGATAGAGTGTACTTTAGCAAGCTTCA